TTTATAAGTCGACCAGCTCATAGATCATAGGATATGCAAATTTTCCCCTATGTTTCTTGCTTGGCACAGGTGAATTCTAACTAACATATGGTTTATAAGAGTAACCATCTTACTTCTCACTAGAATGATTTTCAAATGAAGTAATCAGAAAACGAATGACTGAAATTCGACAAATCATGTCAAATCAAATCGCAAACTACCAAAAAGGCACAAACTTTGGCAATGTGCTGAAATGTATAGGCTAATAGCGCTGTATTATTTGTGCTGTTACTTCGCTCGCTCTGTCACATAGAGAAACAGTCTTATCCATCCGTGCTAACAAAAAAAATGGATAATGTGTATTTTTGCTTTTTCCATTACTGCAACAAAGAATTTGAGAAGTATAAGTGATTCCTGTTTTATTTGGGTTTTTCTGCGTGTGATATTAACGCTATTGCTTGTGCATTCATTTTGTAAAATTATGCGTAACAAATGTTAAATTCAGAGAAATCCAAATCAGAAAAAAATGTATTAATGAAATGATCGCTGTTGTGTGAAGAGTTTGAAGATAAGTAAATTTGTGGATGCGTTTTGATCACTCATTTTCATATAAGGACTATCTGCGGCTTTATAACAAGAAAAACCCCTTTTACGCCCATTTTGTAGGGGTAAAGGGTATTTCCCCTCCCCTTCATGCCCGGTACGTGGCCCAGGTAGTTTAACATAATTCATTGCTAAAAATCAAATTGAGCGCATATGTATCGATAATAGAGTTAGCAATCGAATGATACCTGAAACATGATCACGTAATTATTAAGAAAAGGAAAAAAATACGTTCGCGTTTTTATCGTTTCTTGACGAACAATCACCGTGGGTATTGCAGAAAGGATTGGGCGAGAAATGTTACACATAAATGCGCTTCGGCGTTTAGTTGGCAATGAAATTTTATAACTCAAAAAAAGTTTGATTGTTAGCCAAGACATGTCTCTTACGTTCTTCCTTGCGTATAAGAAAAGCCAGAGGAATTTCCAACAGTAGAAGAATATATGCTTTTCTTTAAATAACCACATCTTTATTGTCATCTAAGGGAAGTGCGTTCTCATTATTGGTTATCGCTGTATGAGAAGTGATTCTTTATTGTAAAGTAGAGAGTGAACGTTACTTCAATCAAACTATGCCACGTGAGGCAGCG